ACTTGATTAGAATGACACAAGAATGGCAATTGTCTAAGTGAGGTGTGCAAAGTGGCCCGTTTTAATTCTATTCACGCTTACCGCTCTCGAGGTAGTATTTATTTTTTTCCAAAAACGTTGTTGCGACGCAACATTTATATTTGCGGTGTAACTATATATTTATTCGTATTCGTCGAGATTAGCGTCACGGAAACAAAGATGTTAGATTCGAAATGTTTATCGGTGTATCATTAATTGTCGTAACAGGCGAACAACTTCACGACGATATAATATAATTATTTATTCGAAAATCCATTAGAAAAAGTCCTGATGTTAGAAAATTATTTACTTTTTTCGGTACCAATATTTGTGTAAAAATAGCGGGAATAACGTAAAAGACTATGCAAATAAATTGACTGTACGAGTGATTGAATGGCAAATGCATTGAATTTACAGTGGAACTTTAAAAAGAAAAACATATATATATATATATATAAATTTACATCCTTTTAAAAGCTATGTATAAATTTGAAGGGCGTTTATTATAACATAAGTTAGCCGCACAAACGATTCCATGGTTCGAAGAACTGGATTATGTAAATAATTATACAACATTAATTTCATATACAAATTGTATCATAAACTACAATTGTGACTGGGCATCACGATTGACAAATCTGAAGAAACCTAACCGAATTTCAATGTACATTGGTTTAAACGCAACATCGCCTCAAATTAATTAATCGATTTTTTTCCAAGCACGGTGATAAACTGTCAAATAAAAAGTGTCCGTTTCCGCTAAGTTAAGACTCGATTCAAGATCACGTCAACGTGTACACTTGCGCATCTTCGATCATCAATAACTGTCGTCGACGATTGATCCTTAGATCGTGTATGAAAGTATCGAGTACAGTGAAACTCCATTTATATGAACTGAGAGACAAACATACAACGAAGTAGCACCGCTCGCAATTTTGCGTTCGAATTCAATGATTCAATGATGTCTTGCCCAGTCCTTGGATCATAGCAATAGTTCAGAGCCTATCACATAATTTGAACTGGTACTAGTTCAAATAATAAGAACTCAACTAGAGTTCACAAAACCAGACATTGACGAGAATTTCATTCGCGTGAACAGAGTTCACAGAAATAGAGTTCACATAAATGAAGTACGTATAAATAAAAGTTAAAAAAATGCAGTTCACATAAATGAAGTATATATAATAAGATTTAAAAAATGGAGATCGCGCGTATAAATGAGGTACATATAAATATATGTCAAAGTATGGAGTTCGCATGAATGGACTTGATATAAATAAAGCTCACATAAATAGAGTTCAGATGAATGGAGATTTGCTGTAGCCCGGCTGTATCATAGTCTGTGCGCTATTGATTCGATGTAGCATGTTGAGCATATTCTTCGATTTGAAAAGAGACATTGAGGGCCCAGAAATTAATAGGGCGAAACACGTGCCACGAAAACTCGAAACAGATCGCCGAAAGCCGCAGGTTCAAAGAATCGCGCGGTAGCGTAATAAAAGCGGGGACGTCGGAAAAACGATGACAGAGCGTTACGGGACGTCATTCATCCGAGTGATTTATATTGGTTCGTAAATAACATAGTATTTCGTGACGCGCTTACGAGCATGTACATGTATACATAGTGATCGCGTCTCGCTTCTTTACACTGTTACACGATGAGCACCAAAAAATATACATAGAAGTGAACGTTATGCTGCAGGACGGGAATAAAATAACATGCGAATAATATGCGTATGCGGATGCGCCTTACGAGAATTATCTGACGCCAATTGTATAATAGTTTGTAATCGTGTATACTATCGGTTACACAAATTTCGTAGCGTACTGTCAAACGCGGCGGTTCATGCGATTACATGTATAGTCCTCGCGCGACAAGAAAGCACCTTTGTGTTTAAATATTCCCCCTCCTTACTACCTGTCCTACTGCCGCAACTTTCGGTCGCCTAGCGACCATCGTTGATTTTTGTCGCCGAGTTCGGCCAATAGCGACCGATAGTTGCGGCGGTGGGACAGCTAGTAAGAGGGGGAATGTAAACGCAGAGGCGCCTTCTTGTCGCGTGAGGACTATATGTCGTTGTTCGTTTTTAATCGGTACAACGTCGGTGTTTACGCACGCTTAATGATAATTTTGTATGATCGATAAGTTCGAAATTCGAACATGTTGTGCAGCTTGACTTTTTGAACGTCCTTTCTAAAAGATGTCGCTCTGCTCTGGTTTTCGAGATCTGCTCTGGTTTCGCGGAAAATTCTAGACTCAACTCAGACCTAATTTATTCCGTTAGATCTAACACGAAACTTAATGTAAAGCCGTTTTAGAAGAGTTCACAGTTTTTCGCGAATATCTCGAAAACAGAAACGAAGCGGCATTTCTTACAAAGGAAAAAGTTATTCGAAATGTGAAGCTGTGCAACATATTTCAATTTCATCGAAATCAGAGATGGAGACCATTTGGAAATAATTACTATTCTGCGTTTGTTCGAAAATGTTTGGTATCGTTTGAGAAACGTTAAATGGAGTTCGACAGTTTGAATCGGTTGTGCAAGAATCTTACGTTTCCCGTGACACTTCACAGTCTCCATAAGTTTTGAGAGTACGGCATGAAATTTTTGGCCCCATAGAAATGTATTTTGAAGCTCGTTGGTCTGGAGAACAATTTTACGATATTCTTCTTCGAAGAGTTCGTCAGAATACGGATTCTGGCCGTAAGCGCGAACGCGTGCTATAAGAAAATAGTGCGTACGTAGAACATACTCGCGACACTTATTAATATTCCGATTAAGCAATCAAAATGGTCTCATATTTTGTTCGTGAGTTACGCATTACAAGAAAACTGAGGAAACCCGCATCTATCATCATTACTAATATTATTATTATTATTATAATAAATCTCAGTATGCTCTAAATGTATTATCGTTGTTGTATAGTAATCATTATTATTATTTTTTTATTGTTAACATTATGATTATAATTAATATTATTATCGTTATTATAATTGCTATTTTTGCTATTATTATTAATACGACTGTTGTGGTCGTCGTCTGTTCACTGTTGCTGCATTCATTATGTTTCTATTATACTTTACCCTTTTTTTTCACTATATACATATATAGTCCTATATATTATATATTATATGTATATAGTC